AAAATACTGAAATGCATTGTCAAGCATTTAATTTTTTGAAGTGTTATTTCCTACTTTCCTAACTACATATGGTTTTTCCAGTTATCTTTTCCTTACTTTTTACATTTTTAAACTGCTGTGTGAAAGATCCATAATACAGTAGAAACTAACTGACCCTGTAAAGAAAAGAATAAAATTGAAAGGCATAAAATGCTGTCAAATGTATAAATTAAATACAGTGAAAAAATAACAATGGTTTCTCTCCTCTCAGCTACAGTAATCTTAGGTATTACTTTACTGCAACAGTAAAAACATTAAATAATTCCATTAAAAATGTGACTTTTATACACTTATGTACTTAAAAGGAGAACAAAATGCATTTAGATGGAAAATTGTATGAATTACAAATGCATGGTTGCGGCCTGTTGTACGGGAGCTCAGGACTACAGCTGGCAGAGACATCACGCATTCCCCACTCGACCCCCTGCTATCCCAGGCAGCCACCCAGCATAAAGTCAAATTTTGCCCTAAAAGTGATTATTTTTCATCCCGTTACCCGTAATAACAAGCAAAGTAGCTGACAGCTGAGCACCGCTCCATTGCTACATCAAAGAACACAGCTCATCAAACGTCGCGATGAAGTTCCTCGCCCTTCCCCATGTAGCTGCTCGGTGCCTTCCAGACAGCTCTTGCACCCACGGGAGATGCACGGCTTGTCCCTGCCATCACTTCTGCCCAGCTGTGCCCATCTCAGGGGAGGTGTCAGCACGGGTTGCTGGCACAGCATGGCACGGCACGGCTCGGCACGCTCCGGAGAAAGCACCAGGGCACAGAAAGGCACCATTTCATCACCGAGAGAAGGGATTTTCTTGATCAGACAACTTTAATACTCTCTTTTGGTAGTGTAATTTAGTTATTATCACTTCGCTGTTAATCCCCGCTCACGGTTTAACACAACACAGAGCCAGCTGCCAACTGTCAGGCACGGTGACAGCATGGTAGCCGTGGCAGCCTTGCTATCAGCACTGAGAAAAGCCAGGCTTCTGGTTGTATGTCCCATGCGATCCATACGGATGGACGGCCTCTGCTTGCCTATCTCCCCTTGTATGTCTTGTCTTTAAATTGTTCTGAGAGAGAGAGAGAGATATTCTGGTATATATCACATATATACATGATGCAATGAAGTCGACAGGGAGAAAGCTATGAAGTTTCTTATGAAATGTAACCCCTTAACCACGCAATTCTGTTTTGCATGAAAAAAATTTGATCTATGTCAGTATCAACCAAATCTATTTGGCACCGTATGCCAGAGAGTGTGGATGATCCCTAAGTACAATTTCCACGCCATTTCTCCTTTAAGCTATATAAACTGACCGTAATCCTGTTAATCCTCGTGTTTTTGCATAAAATATGTAACATTTTAAAGTCTATAGGCAAATCAGGATACAACCCATGCAGATGTCTGTGGCAAAATTAGAAATAAACTTTATAATGAAAACATTAGTGTAATATTTGATCTTGTAAAAAAATTTGCATAACTATCTCAGACATTTTAATCTCCTAACGTTATCATTTTGAATATGAGAAAAAGCCTTTCAAAACCGTGTTTGGTGTAAATATCCTATTTTCGTTTACAGTTCTTGTGATATCATTGGAAATAACTTTCTTCATTTGCGGTCTGCTGTTTGCCCTGGTTGTAGAAGAATGGGTTTGGGATTACGCTGTAACAGTTACTATTATTCATATCATCATAACTTCAGTTGGTAAGTAGGCTTACTGCTAAATATATGCACAGTATCACAAATTGAAGGACCAATCAACTATGATTCATCTACCGTATTACTGGACTAACTTAACATTTCCTTAAAGCTAAATAAATACGTATCTCTATTTTCCACCCATTTGACTCACGCAGGTATTTAAATCCTGCCATTTAACACTCAAATCTGGTTTTGTTGCAGAACTTTAAAACACTATTTTCTTATTAAAAAATCAGAGTTTTAGTTCATAATCTAACGGTTCATATCAAACACATCCAGCCTAGACACAATTTCAGCATCGGGGAGGTGTGCTTTTCTCTAAAACAAGAAATTAATAGTTGTCCATGTCCTGACACTTCTAAGATCTACTCATTAACACTTCAGCTCTAGTTCAGAGTAAAAATGAGGCTAGCTTCAGCAAAGCCAATTCAAAGTTTTTAAGTTAGATCATTTGAACTAAATCTCATTGAGGAAAATAAAGCATTTTACCAAAGCAATTTTTTTCCTGAAACTCTTCCCGTCAAAGGAAAGAAAAGTAAAAGAATTGGCTGCTTTAAATGAGACTCGTCATCAGTTTTCGCCCACACCTAGTGACCTGCTCCCTCTTCTCATGCTGTTTAGCAGAATGCTGCTAGGGCTGATTAGGCAATATTTTTTAACCCTTAATCCTTGCTAGTATCCATTTGGGGATTCTTTTCTCCTATAACAATGAGCTTAGTATTTTTATTTTAGAATCTAGAAATAGGAAAAATATCACTGACAAATTAGGACTCCCTCCCTACTACATAATAGTTCGTCTTCTGTTTTCCAAGGCTTTGTCCATTTGCCTTTTAGCACTTTATAGAGACGGGGACTCCCCAGTTCCCACGACAAGTTAAGTTGGAGACCAACAGAGACTTCATCTAAAAAAGTTAAGCATAATTTTTCATCTACTGAAAAATTCATCTACTTTCCTGGAATTTAAACTACTGTTATTCCTTGTGAATAACTTCTGTATTTAAATCCAGGAATTTATAAAAACTACAACAAAAACTGCTTTGTATATAACTTATACAGGAAGGAATCTTCGATCATTATATTAGATGATGCATTTTGATGTTCAAACAATGCCAGATTTGTTATTGTTCCTTTCAGATTGCCAACCAAACCTCTGCTGGCTGACCGAGCTGCCAGCACATGCGGTGTGCCTCCCAGCTCACTGTACTACCTCTACAGTCCTGCCAGCGCTTTTTTTTTTTTTTTTTGGGGGGGGGGGGTGTTGGGGGAATATTGGGTCCTATAATAGCCCTGTAGTTGATCGTACAGCGGGGCTGTGGGTCAGCTTGCGTGAGGCAGGGGCAGTGCCTGGCCCAGGCGAGAGCACGGTGGGCATCAGTGGTAGCTGGCGGTGCACAGCCCCAACCCACCTGTCATGCCCGGCATCACCCGTTCAACTGAAAATACCAGGCAGCCTCATTTATCTGGAGTGCAGCAATACATAGGCACTCTACCAGGGATTGGTGTCTCTGTTGTGCTAAACCGTGTATAGGTAAGTAATCAAAAAGGCATTTCTTCCACAGAGGGCCTAAGAGCTCTGTTAACACACACTTAGTAGGTTTAAGACGTGCCTTCCAGTGGGATCGCTCACCAGGCTAAGCTTAATGGTACGGCCAAGCATCTGAATGATCAGGACCTAAATATGCACTTGCAATTTCAATAAATGTAAAGTATATAATTTATGAAACATAACTAAGCAGACCTTTGATAACATAATGTAATGTTTGCATGTCCCCATCCTTATTATTCAAAAATTTACATTTCTCCTTTTCTTCTTCTTGCAGTTATGTCTGAATTCCCCTTGATGTTACACTGGTGGCTGGCATTAGGTATAATTACATTCTTTAAAGTTTAAGTTGTTAGATTCAGTGTAGAAAATTAGTATTCACAGTATGAATTGTTTCTATTAAATGTCTGTTGTCTAGCTAATTTGAGAATTGTCAACATTTAAAGAAGAAATATATCCTTTTCACTTATGCTTCTTTTAATGACACAGGCAAGTAACGCTGCGCTAACATTTGCCTTGCCTTAAAAAAATCTTCTGTTTTAAGACCAGAATGTACTCAGCTTATGTTAATCTTGCTAACAAACAGCAGATACGCTCACATTCTTCAAATAAATCATGATTCAGTCCTGACTAATCAAACTATCTCACTTAATTCAGATGTCAAAAAGACAATTCTCCAAACTAGTCTTCCTTGGTACCCTTTATAATCAATGGAAGGAAACAGGCACCTTCAGAGGCCATTTTTATTAACACTATGCACAAGTACTTATGATAGGTGAGATAAATCCCAGGCATCACATTTCCTTAGAGTGAATAGCGAGCCTACATTTCTGAATGATTAATTTTCTGTAAAATTAAAAGCGTAGCTTTGTACTAGAATATATTATCTTGAAAAACAGTTAAGGGAAAAGGACTGGCTTCTGTTCTTCTTTCTGATATGATGGATAACAAGGGTCGACAGCTGCAGTAAATTCCTAAATGATGGGGACAGGCAAATAAATTCCCTGTCCTGCAGCTGGTTTTGCATCAGTGGCTGTTGGGGCTGATATCTTTGTAGGTGGTTAAAGCCTTTGGCAAAATGTTTAAGTAGACAAGCTATTTTTTAGAAAAAAATGGAGATAAAAGAGTGTCTGTTTAAAGTTTTATTGTAACATTTGTATTCTGCTATAAAAATTAATATAAAATAGTCATATATTTTCTTTCAGGATCTGGAGTAATCTCAATGATTTGTGGAGGACAGATTTTGGCATACTGCTTGTTCAAAGACAACTTCATTTACCCAATTCTGGATGATTTTTGAAAAGGAAAATTAGAACTTACCTTTATATTTTTATGGTTTCATTAACAGCATAATTAAAATGAAGTTAGCAACTGTCTAATTGTAAGGCTAATATTTAGCTTACCAGACCTCTTGTATCATGCAGTTGTTTGCAATGTCATCACTTTTAGCTGCTCTACGTAATCACTTTTAGCTTTTGTATGTGCATGTTCCATTAAGCAAATAATTAGATACATTGTGTCTTTTTTAAAAACAAATAAACCATAGGGAGGATAAGAGCAATGATGCAACACTTTTGCAAAATCCTGTAAGGAGAAGGAAAAACCAGATTTGCATGTGATGTTTTTAGGGTGCTTGTTATCTATTGTATTTTCTGAAATGCTGACTCTAATCTAGGCTGGAGTCTGACTTCTCACAAGTGCTGCAAAACTTTAAAGTCACCCTATCTGGCATAAATCACTGTAGGTTTAAAGCAGTCTTTACTAGCGAACCCCTGGCAAAGAAGAATCCGTGAACAGCACATGGCTCTGCATTTCTTCCCATCTTAAAGCACCCACCTGAAAGCTGCCCAAGACAACAGCAGGCCGATGTATAATCCCCAAAGTTTGGTTGACACCCCCTTGCTTCCAGGGGTGCTACAGACAAATATTTTCTACAATAGCTTTGGCTAGTCTCTCTTTTGCTAGTGATCCATTTATGGGCTGGCTGTGCTGGATCGAGGAGAGGCAAATACTACTGACAGCCTCTTTTGTACACGTCCCTTTCTTTCTCCCTCAACTGCAAGAGGCCAATGCCAAAGTGTGAACTTATGGCTAGTGGTAATTAAAAACAACAAACAAGCCACAGCAGTGGCTTCAAGCAACTCTTTATGTCTTTAACCATAATAAAGTTGTAACAGGAAAATTGCTAGAAGGCAACTTCATCTTAAATACGATATCAGTGATTGGATTTCCACTGCAGTTTGTTTAGAAGAGCTCGATTGCTGCTTGCACAGGACTGCTAGATGTTGCATTTGCCTTAACCTTACTCAACAGACAATGCCTCTGAAGAATCAGTCCCCTGTTGATCTAATCAAACATCTTCAAATGTAGTGCAAGTTTTATAATATTCAATTAAGTTTCAATACTGAAAGTACATACACAGTGAGAAGCACGTTTCAGAAGACTCCCAAAAGAATGAGTTTGTCTCTCATCAATGATAGATACCTAAGACATTTTAGAGACAAACCAGATATGTAAATCCATAGCATTGAATAGATGTAGACTTTACAAGTTGTTCAGCGTAATACGCTGTGTACTGCAGTCAGCAGAGATAATTCCAGTGAGTCAATTAACTGAGCCGTGCCGATCACTGGTTTGAATCATGGGCCGTTTTCAATTTGATGGATTTGTATCTCCAGAAACATTAGCGTGCAGATAACTGAATGGTATTATGTGTTTGAAAAACATTTGCACATTTCTTCCAGATTTGTTTCAATTCCAAACTATAAAAATGGATGGGAAGGAAGTACCATCTAATGTAAATTCATACCTCTGTCCTCGTCCTCACGCAGTTTGTGTGTGTAGGTAGTGTGCCATGTGGCAGAACACGAGTGGATTAGATATAAAGTTAATCCACGAGTGGAACAAGTTTCCATTTTTAACCTGACAGGATTTTCCTCTACGCATGTCAGCCCAGCTGCAGGTTATAGCAGCGCTGTTGCCCAGTCTTGACATTTTTAACTTCTGTTTTCTATTTAAAATCTTAAATCACCAGCAAGAGATACCTCCAGACTAATGTGAAGAGTGCATTAGTCCCAGGATTTCTCCAAAGCATGTACAACTAGGGCAGTGCTAGAAAAACAATCACAGCAAGAACTCTCTTGAGGATTAAAAGCCTTAGTCCAGCTATTAGAGAGTCATTAGCTTTTTGCATTACTTTCAGATACAGAGTGGTGAGACAATTTCAACATTATTTATTTCATCTTTTCCATTACTTTTACGGCAAGCACCAACGATAAACATTACACATAATGTTTAAAGTGTAGACAAAGTTCCCATTATACAAATAAATATTCATTGTGTAAGCAATATGAGCTATATCTGTGTGGGCATTACCTGGTTAGAAGCCTTCAGAGATAATATCTAATACTGTGTCATTTCTATCTGATACATCAAAATGGTACTTTTGAATATGACAAACCTGTCTGTTTCTGGAACAATAATAAACTGACCCACTTGAGCAATTTGCATGCGACTAATTGATAACAGTCAAGACAGGTGGGAAAAAAATGCTGCTGGAGGAAAAGAATGGCGTTGTATACGTTTCACAACAGACCTGCCAAAGACTACAAGAAAAGATGGCTACAGAAAGGAAAAGGAAAACAGAAAATTGCAACAGGGACACGTGTTTGAAAGAAAGGCACAATGAGAGCAAGAAATGAGAAGACAGAAATGGTCAAGATCAGTGAAAGAAGAAATAATCTGCAAACTGAACTTGAAGCACTGGAGTCTCATGGCATGAGACTTGTATGCCATTTGTATGCCGCAATCCGTTTTTCCGCTGATGTATACATAACCCTAGGAAAGGTGGTCTCCACACCCCCAGTTACAACTATAATCCGTGATGTTATGCCTGCAGCTTCTGCCCCAGGATTTTCAGAATTCTTTGCTCTCTGACTCAGCCAGGCATAGGAATATTGTCTAAATTAGTTGATGTGGGCTTGGTGTTATTTAACCCCTTATGATACAGTCTAGTAGTCATGAGTTTGCACAGGTATCAGTGGAGGTGTTGACAATCTACAAAACATTACAAGCAGATGGAGACTTTATCCACTTCCTGGCACAGTTTGCAGGGAAGAAGGTTAGAAGTTGCAAACATTAGCTACAGAAATCAATGGAACAGTACACAAATGGCATACCTTAATAATACCACACTTAGAGTCATTTTAAGTTGGGTTTTTTTTTTCAGAGGCAAGAAACTACTTTTCATCATATCCAACCACCTACTGAGACAGATTATAGTTCTCCTCAGTTCAGCCCTCTAAATGGCTTTGCATTAATTCTTGTTCCAAATGGTGAAACGTCTTACTCGTAACAAAGAATCTGAGTGAAATGTGGTTTTTTGGAGACTCTAAGCATATATTCCTAGGCTAATAGCACTGCCTTCAATGTAATGTCAAAGGGTAAACAAATTAAAAAAGTTGTTCCAGGACCAGCAAACTAACTCAAATGTGTAAAAACAGCCAAATATCAAACTATGGAGTACAGAAAATGTAATGATTTTTAGTTGGCATTTTTGTGAAAATATAGTTTTAAATACTTAAAATTTCCTAGTGAAGTAAAGAGCTGATTATTCAAACTAAGTCTCTGTAAATTGTTTGATCATCATTTCGATCTCTTTTGTATTCAAACTTAAAAAAGCAAGAAAAACAAAACCCTACAGTACTCATTATTTCTGTATTCCTAAAACCACTAACAACTGCTGCACCAATAAATACAGAAAACACAGTATGAATAATACTAGATCACCAGCAATGGGCAGATGAGTCACCTGACAGCAGTCTCCTACGCTGGATATTCATGCACAGGATTCCTGTGGCCCATAGTCTCTTGACTAGAAATACTCATCGTGACTGAGTGAGCTTCATTAAATTGAGAAAAGATGTGAAAGCCTTACACATTCTACATTCCATCATCTGGTATGTATGTTGTCACACCATAAAGTTAGATGCTTGTTAATATCGACAGGTATTTAAAGCTTTATTTAAATATTTTGTATCTTCCAAATGTGACTTACTTAGAATAGTTATTTCTTGGCTTAAGATCCTGTGTAATGATCCATCTGCTCACTAATGGCTAATACTCTAATCTCTCCTTTTTGTGAGCTAATCACAGCCCCAGACAGCATGCACTCTCTCGTTAGATGTCAGAGAGGATAAAGGTCTTAGGAATGGTTATAAAATTTGATGGTGTAATTAATATCTTTATTATTGGCTTTAAACCTTTTAGTGTGAGGCTATGATTTCAAGACGCAGACCTGTGCCTGAACCTCTCCTCTGCTCAGGGAGAATGATGTGGATCCCTTTAGAGTCCCCCTTAAGATGCACCAGGATAATTATGCCTATGTTGTAGGGCAGGCATGCTCTGTGATGGACTTACATCCTGTTCCATCCATTCTCCAGTTCAGGGGACCAAATGAATACCCAGCAGTCATCTCCCAGCTCGTACACTCAGGTTGCCTCTGCCAACAAGTGTGAAAGAAGGGAAAGATGTGTGCTTGGATGCCATCCTGACATGTAGGTGTAGCATGGCATTGGCTTGGACTGGGGATTTGGGAAGCGATACTAGGACACCAACTATGGACAACCAAAATCTGAGGAAAGGCCTTGGATCCCATCTTTTAAGGCTGCCTACCCCTAGAAAACAGTCGCAATCAAATATAAGGATGATGGTTGAAATTGGAGCCTGTAAGAAATATGCAAGGTACTTTCAGTCTCTTGCTGTCGTTGTCCTAAATCAAAGATAGTCACAGCCTGGCCATTACTGTTCCATATTTTCCAATGAAAATAAATCCTAATATGAAATTATTTGCTGTGGATTTGCAAAGTGATTTGTAAACAGATGGTCCACTCCTGTTTCCAACAGCAAAGATCCTGCTGTCTTTACTGGAGCCATACTCTATATCAAAGGGCCACTTTTACACACACAGACCCTCTCTCAGAGCGATCTTGTCACCAGATTGTCAGCATCAAAAGGAGAAGTGTTCAAATAAAATGTGGGTGATGGCAAAATGCTCAAATACATTAAGAATTACCAATTTCCTAGCAGTCTTCAGACACCTTTGCACTGAAATTACATCTACGTCAGTCACTTTCAAAATACACTGAAAAAGCGCTTCGATTCACTTCATAAACCTTGATAGGAGTACACACAAAGATGTACCATTAAAAATGACAAAAAAGATCAATGTGTTTGATATCTCATATGGTATTAACTGAAAAAAATTGTACATATTAGCCAAAATACATGAGCAAATTCAAC